ACCTTGTCCATGAGGCACTGAAATGTGGCTGGTGCATTTGTAAGACCGAAGGGCATAACGATGAATTCGTACAGCCCATCGCGCGTTTTGAATGCAGTTTTGTGCTGGTCACTCAGATCAACTTCAATCTGGTGGTAGCCAGACTTGAGGTCGATCTTGGAGAAGACCTTGCACCCAGCTGCTGCATCTAGCAGATCATCTATGCGAGGCAAAGGATAAACATTCTTTCTGGTGATCCGATTCAGGTGGAGGATCATCCTCATCAGGAAAAGAAAATTAGATCGAGAATTTACAGCAATTACAACTGGATTCAAAGTACTTGGACCAGAAGTAGAGTGATTATTCACAGTAGAAGTAGAGGGAATAGAAGTAGAGTTACCTTCCGAGGTAGGAAATGCAGCAAAAGTAGAAGGCACGTGGAGAGGTTTACAAGAGCTACATGTACATGCTCAGCTTCCTTGCGCCTGCGCATTGATTTGCAAAATTTGTTCGCACTCAGAAGAGTCACAGGGGACTCACGCGTCTCGTCCAATAGAACGGTACGCTCGTTCCCCTTGGCATCACGCACCACGAACTGATTATCCGCCCATGTGGTCCTTAGGCAATGAGCCTTTAACCAGCCCAAACCAATGACCGCGTCGAACGGACACTTGTCCATGACATAAAAGTTCAGCTCATGTGTGACAGTGCGATCCTTGTCAAAAGTGACGCGCACACCTTTGATAGCATGTGTTGAGGTTACAACCTCTTGGTTGCCACCTGGGTCTGACAAGGGTTCTCCAACTCCACTTGCTTCATTCCTAGGCCTGCCTTACGAATACCGTTAGGAGAAAAGAAATTAGTCGTTGAACCACTATCAATCAGCACACAGATGTATCGGCGGTTAATGAGAAACTTAACGAAGGTTAGCTTCATGCTTCTTTGAACACAACGTTGCTGCTTGAGCTGCAGCCAATGTTCCAGGTGTGAGTGGAAGTCAACTTCTTTAGTCTCTTCCCAAGGCTCAATGTAAAGTACTTGGACTGCACCAGCCTTGAATTCAGCATCAGTTCGGGCTTCAAGAGCAAGTTGTTGATCAGATTTAGGCTCCTTGGAAGGGCCTGCAACTGACTGTTCAGCTTCCCTTGCTGTAGAGAGTGCTGATGACTCCTCTACGCCCTTGGCCTGTTTCCCTGCAGACGATAGCAATCCTGCACAGCATGCCCAGACTTTTGACAACGCAAGCACACGCGCAGTTTGGATCTTCTTTCCCATTCTTTTTGACTGATGTGGAGGGCTTCCCAAGGCTTGGTAGAAGCGTCCTCCGGTTTCTCAGGGATCTTCGCATTCTTGGGGAGGTGTGCTATAGTTTCCCTACCGGAACCACGGTTAGGCCCCTTGCTTGAACCAGTCTTTTTTAATGCATTGAAGTTTTCTTCTTCATTCACGTCAGACTCAATGGCTGCTGTAGAACAGCCCATATCGGAGTCCGGCTCTAGATCGTCATCTAGAGACAGATCATCCGCGTAGGACTGATCTTCAGCCTCCCGATGTGCATGCAGGGCAAGTTGGTTGCTGCTTCCATACCGCTTGCATTGTGATTTTCTACCTGCAACGGGTGGCTTTGTACGCCTGGCGAGGTCCTTGGACTCTAGGTTGACTAGATCCGTCATGAGTTCTCGCCAAGTGGTATGGTCTTTGAGTCCTAGCAGGGAGAGGTATTCTTTAGGGGCCACTCCCATGACTACATCCATGCAAGACACGTCAGTCATTCCCAGGTTYGGAGTGGTGAAYARACYAGTCAAGTGYTGTTCCAAAGCCWGCATGGAGGTCCTCCASGTTTGGCCSTTGAGGGCCTCAAGCTTCAGCCTTGCCTTGAGCGCARCGTGCTTATCTTGGTACCGYGTGATGAGGAGGTCCTCAAGAGTGCGTACAGGAGTTACYTTCAGCYACTCAGTCAGGTCAATCCTCTCATAACCTGYTGTAACAGCTTGGAGTTCTATGAAACTCCGTACGACGGGCTCAATATTTGTGCCCATGATCATGCTTCGGTCTTCCTGCGGTGTTCGCAGCACCTCGAAGTATGAGCGCATGGAGCTAATCACCAAGAGGTGATATCCCCTTTCCTGTCGTGCTTGGACGACAGAGTGGCCGCCCGCTTGTCCACTACTGGACCGCTGTACTGTACGCCAGTAAGAACTGTGTCGTTTTGTGATGATGTTCCTGCATTTGGGACTATGACTAGTGCAAAACTGCCGGCGCTGCCGCTTGAGGAGGTGGCACCGGTTCCTGCGGTCGTCACAGTTCCACTTGCTCTCGTCATGAGGACTGTGTTAGGTTGAGAGACTGGGACTGCAGCAGGTCGAGGGTTAGGAGGACGGGGGGAAGACAATTGGGACTGTTTGAGGCTGACTATCTCAGCCTGCAGCTCTTGATTCCGCTGGTCGAGGGCTGTCACACGGGACTCAAGGTCTTCCAAGGTCCGCAATCGAACCAAGGCTGCTACGGCAGCAGCTGGCTTCTCTCGGAACCGGTCATCATTCGATTCCGGAACCGCAAGGAGGGCCACCGGTTCAGCAATGCTGGTGGCTCTGGCCGCTGCCTCTGCCTCCCTTTCCCTCTGTACGGCATCGTCATAAAGTTTTTGAAAGAACGGTTTCTCGTTCTTGTCCGCTGCGTCCAGCATGGCCTGCCATTGGGCAGATGAGATGTCTGCCATGCTGGAGGAAGGGGTGTTAGTAGATCTCTCAAGAGGGGTCCGCTCTCTCCTCACGTTTGGACGAACACTCCTCTTGCCCTTCCTCACGTTCCCAAAAAGAACACCTTCTCTCTCCCTTCTCTCTCTTTCCGCTTCCTGCGCACGCGTCTCAATACCAGACATAGATAGTTCAGATAAAAGAAACAAACAGTAAATCACAAAGAGTAGAAGGTAGAACTCCTAGCCGGAGCGGCAATTCATTTGGACTTAGAGAATGGCACGCAGTAGAATACAGGAAAGAATAAAAAAAAATAAAACGGAAGAGAGGACTGACTTATCGAACGGGCCTGATCAGATTAGCTGGAGTTCCCCTCTTGTCTAACCTGACACGGTACATGTACCACAATAAATCAGCCGAAGCAAACTAATTGCAGCAATTGAGATTTCGAGGGGTGCAGACGGTCGCCGAGCCAGACGCGGGGCAGTATGTGATAACATGCAGTAAGACCAGGCAAGATCCCCTTGAAAGGAATGCCCTTGCTAGCCGTATGTCCCCCAAGTTCAGCACAACAAAGAGATGCATTGACCACAACAGATTTGGGCCAGAAAGGTCCTGTCCCGTTGGGCCTGGTCCCACTGAGTCCCGAAGGTCCCAAGTAGGTCGTGGACCAGGACCAACGAGATAGGTGTACCAAGTCAGTCCCAAACTGCCTCTACCGTACTGAAAAGGAAAAGACAACTTCCAGCAAGAACTCACCCCTACAGCCGTTCAGAAATGAAAAGACATTGCACCGTAGAAAGATATGTCATTTAGAACAAATACATCATCCATCCATCCATCAGGTGAGAAAGCAATCCACATGCTCACACACACAACCAAGACCGCAGAGAAGAGGAAGAGATCCCAACACACCCCAACAGGTCATGAAGCACCAAGCAACCTCCCACGGGCATAACCAGGTCACACGACACTTACCTGTGAGGCCCGGCCTCCAAAGATGGATAACGACCCACCCCCCTCTCTTATAAGTCCTCCTGACCCCTAGCTACCACTACACAAAGTTTCCTAGCATGACTAAGAGGGCCTTCCTACACCCCTGTTGCAACGCCGGATCCCCCGCCGATGTCTGAAGACCAAAGTAGCAACTTGCAGCTCTCCGATGCAGATATGGCAGCCTCCGATCAAGTCTCCCTCTTGAGGGGAAGCCCAAAAGTCGCTCAATGTCTTCTTGAAGTGCAGATTCCAGGTGCGAGTACCTCTCACTCTCTACTCCCTCTCGCTTACTCCAATCAGCCTCCTTTGTGTCTCGCCACCCCATCCGATCACTCAAACAACCTGGTCAGGTCTGATGTCGACCCTACATGACCCAACCAGGTGGGGGC